ACACGGTCACCCCTTATATTAATTCATAAATCAATTTAACTAAATTACGATTTAGAACAATGTTTTTCGACTCCGATAACTTAGGCCTCACTTATTCGAATTAGCTTTTTCTTGAACTTAATATGTATGATTAATTACGAGCTATCTAACAAGCCCAATATTGATATATTTATCATTACTTTATTAATATTTAAATATTTGGCCCAAATGAAATTGAATTTAATATACATTACTCTAGTTCACTAACTTTCAAAATGTGAAATGTAGTAGACGAAATAAATAATTTCATTTTGTAAATTTTCGAAGTGTTACAACTATCACAAGCAGCTACTGTGAGAACCATTTGGTATTTTCTTCATTGTTTGTAACACTTTTTATTAGAGTGGTGTTATGTGTACACACAATTTTTTACATACCCCTTACATTGGAGGGGGGCACACATGGAGCGGGTGTAAAACATTGTGTAAAAAATTGTGTATACATAGCTTTATTCTTTTTATTATAACCACAACTCATAATTATCATCAAAATGCCACAGTGGCAAAGGATCAGAGAATGAATTTGGGTCCTCGCAAGGCGGTTCATTCAGATAATCTGCATTTCCCAAATACTGGGCAAAATGACCGTCCAGTCCGGTAGAGTTGGTGGGGTTCTCATCATTGAATATGCACGGAAATTTACACAGAAGAGAAGCTTCATCATCGAAAGAGTCTATATCTTTCCAATTTTCAAATGCAGTTGCTTTCTTCGCATATTCACATGCAGATGCTTCCTCCCGATTTTCAAATGCATTTGCTAGTAACTTCCGTGCATCGTCCTATCAAAAATGTACTCTAGATCAGTTGGATATAACTACGGTGAAATAAAGAATGAGCAAGAAAACTGATTCAAGAATGGCACACCTTTTCAGCCTCAGCTACACTTTCAATTGGAACATAACCGTTGTTACGCAGTACCCCTTTCAGCTGTCCCACAACATCGAAAACTACCCCATTTTTACATTCAGCAGAGGAAGAAGAGTAGTGTAAATACACCTTTTTATCATCAATGTCGCATTTACTAGCATGATACACCGTGCCCCTCCATGCTGCTGGATTGCATCTACCAAATATCTGTAGACATCCGAAATAAATGTAATGATTCATATGCCAAAATATAAGCCAGTCAATTCATGTGTACATCCCAAGAATATATATGTAAATGCTGAATTAGATATAGTTTGGCTGTGCAACCACTTCAAATTGATTATACTAGATTGTTCAATTATGCACACACTTTCGAATACGTTTTTTTGGCAACATAGAGAAATATATCATCATAAATGAGACAAATTTCGTTGAATTACCAGTTAACTGCTACAATGCTTCTATAGAGCAGAGAGGATGAATAACAAGAATGGAGTGCTTTACTAAAAGTTCAAATATAAACAAGCATATAACTCCAAAAACAAGCAAATAAATTTCGAAATCTTTCTTACTTAATATGTGAAAATAGAACAAGCAAAATAATTGCATGAGTAATATTAGCGGAAAGAATAAATGAAAGAGGATAGTGAAATGAGTAATACTTCTTGGAGCCTCTGAGGATCAACAGAGTGTAGAAACAGAAATTGCTGTACTGTAGAAATGTTACTCTTACGCAAACGAATGTGTCGAGCACCATTTTTGGCAATGTTTTTTAATCTCCACACTTTATCAAAAAGAGATGGTTGGCGGTGCTTCTCGTATACTGCAAATTGAAACCAGCAGTTATACTGATATTTCACTATCCTTTTGAAATTATAAATCAAATGAACTGGAATTTTGATGATTTACCTTTTTTGCCTTTTATTATTTGACGTGTAAAGCTATTTAAATAAAAAAGCACCTAGGTTTCTATCTTATTTAGGATGTGATTTGCACTGACACACGGGCAGTGGCGGGCAAAGAAAACGATAAACTGCACAAAAAAAAGAAAAAGGAACGATACCATCTTGATGTGAGAACGGATATAGCTACTAGCTATATAACTTGTCTTGCTAGGACCAGTGTATCTCATCAAGAGAAATCAACAGGAAGAGGTAAAGCTGTGTGATGCCATATATCTTCTCATTGACGATGCCTTAAATGAAGACCTAATCTTGCAGAAGTTATATAATTATGTGTCACTTCAACCATATTGGACTTCGAAAGGCAAGTTTTATTTTTCTTTAATATGTTTTAGCATTTATATGTAACTTCCTCTAGTTGTCATTATTTATCGAGAGTAATAAATTCTTACGGCTAGTAATAAAATCAAAGTGAGAGCTACTTACAACTTCTGCGTTTGTCTAAGACCGCAAATGACTCTGTGAATGCTTCTTTAATTCTACTTCCATCAAATATTTGCGCAACTCTTGCCCCTAGTCTGCGGTTGCAGCGCTTTATCCACTTAGACTTGTGTACTAACTTGACATTCTTAGGCAAAGTGCCAATGCCTTTCTCCAGTTTAACATTGATAGGTGTATGAAAATGAGGATTATCATTTCCTATAACACTGCTATTGTTCAAGTCTTCAACACCTGCATCGAGAAATATCTCCACCCTTGTTGAGGATTCAGGGCCAGAGTCGACAGGAACTTCAGTTGCATCATGGACCAGAGCAACTTTGATGTCAGTACCTTCTTTTCCTTTAATTTCCATCCCTGTAAAAACTGGATCAGACACTTGGTCGAAGAATTTCAGCTTATAGTCTCTTGGTATCGGAGTAGTAGTCTCGTCCGTAGAGTTCCTAAATATAAAAGATAAGGATGTGTGTGAATGAGATAAGAACTATGGATGCATATAAATGATGAACATGTTATTTAAGTCCTCACCATTTCTGGGAAACCAACTTCTTTGCTACAGCCGATTCAATTTCATCTTTTATCTGGAAAGAAAATGGAAAAGTCGTAAATATTTCTGTGGACAATAAAACTTTTTAACTGAGATAAAGAACTATTGAATGAACAAATATATATTGACTTATTTTTAGAAGAACAAATATTATATTTAACCACTTTTCTTCTAATACCACAATTAGCATGTGTAGGTAACCTTAAATTGCCAAACGTGTTTCGTTCTGGAAAAAAAAAGGTGAATAATTTAAACTGGTCCTTGTTTTCTAGCCGAACTGAAAAGCTTATTCTAGCACGTTTAGTTATGTTTAAAAGTTACTTTTTCTGAAAGTAGGTCGAACTTTAAAGTACATTCAAACTTGCTTTTCTTCACCCGCCGCCTTTTCCTGTCATCCCCACCCTTACCAACATGCTAGATATCATCAGAAGATGCATTTGGCACTCACCTTCCGAATCGAATCATCCATAATAGGTTTTATAGCTTGCTGAGCAGAATGGATCCCCACTTTCAAAATACAACCCTCCACTATAGGGATCAAAGACCTAAAAACAGAAAAGAGGTAAAGCAAAAACAGAGAAAAGAAAGAATAACAGAGCAAAATTGCCATACGAAACAAAAAACAATTTCAACAAAAGTAATTATCAAAGCAGAACCCGTATCAGATCTTAACTTAATATATATATATATATATCCATCACATCAACATTTAAATTCAAATTTTCTATCTCTCGTGTGCCCAAGAACGACTATATTTTTCATTCTCATTCTACAAAAATGTGGCTCAAATAGGGCCTATGTATAACTCAAAAATGCTATACAAGGAAATCAAACAAAATAAACGTTGACTGTTGACTTACTTCCACGGAACCATAACTAGTTGCTCAGCTTTATTCTACAAAAATGTGGCTCAAATAGGGCCTATGTATAACTCAAAAATGCTATACAAGGAAATCAAACAAAATAAATGTTGACTGTTGACTTACTTCCATGGAACCATAACTAGTTGCTCAGCTTCTCTGTTAAGGGGAAAAAAAAGCATTAACAAGAAGAGAAAGCAAAGAGAAAAATGGAAAAGTGGAAAATTGCCATTTAGAACAAGAAACAATCAATATAAATACCAAACATGAAGCAAATTCAACAACAAAACCCATATTTGATATTAACTTATTTTTCCAAAATGAGCCAAAAAATGCATACAACTCGAGAAGCTATACAAGGAAATCCATTGACTTACTTTCTTAAAGCCATAAGAAGATGCTCAGAATCTAATTCTGATTCACCATTATTGCAGTCCTGCATCTGGAGATTACGCTGCATTTCCCCTGCCAACAGACACACCAAATCTTGATCAGTATGCACGTGAAAACACTAAACAATAATTTGCATCAATCAATTTTAGTTATGCGACTGAAACGGTTGGTCATGCTATAAAATAACAGTGGTGGAGCCCAGAGAAACCGCGTTCGTATTTGATGAGGGAATATTACTACAAAATACAAATGAATCAGGTATGGATTAGGCTACACATGACTACAATGCTACACTTCTATGTCGTACAAAGTTGTGTGTAAAGTTTGTCACTGTAATACCCTTAATAGTTACTACGTAGTTTCCTTTAACTTTTGCACATTTTCCTCGAAATGCGAAAGAAGGTAGACCTGAATTGTATTATTGCTTCTCAAAAATCCTATTTCCACAATTCGTATAAAAACACAAAAGTACAACCTACAAAGACAACGAAGAAATTGGTTCTTACACCTCAACACGAAGTGATAGCAGTGTGGAATGACATTGAAACACCTCAATCACCCCGTAACACATAACGATTCAATTGTTAGACCATTTTGTAAAAAAAATCTTGAGCTATTAAAAAAATAGACGACAAATTCATTTATTTTATTATATAGAAGTTTTATACATCTACACTCAAGTGTCTATATTAATAGATTATGCAAGACTCATTTTTACTACTCATGTATACTATCGTTATTTTGTTTAGAAATTCAAACAATTCAATGGTTGAAACTTAAGAAGTTATTTGATAATAAGATCTTGCACCTGAGCTTGTCTATTCCAAGGGGGAAGGACTCGTGCTTACATGCTTTGTTTAGTCAAAAATCCGTTGAAACCTATAGAATTTCTGATACGGGTAAATAGTACAAAATGTCCATATCTTTCAATGTCATTGTACAAAATGTCAATACCTTTCATTTTTTGGCATTTTCACCCTTACCTTCCACCTTTCATTGAGGAAAAGGTTATTTTCAACCATTTTTGCATAAAATGACGATTCTACCCTTCTATTCAAATGAAACAAAAAGAAAAGAAAAAAATAAACAACTAATTGAAATCATAATCCTAAATTTTTCAAAATATTATAGATAAGTCTTTAATTCTCCACCACTACCACTTTCACAACCCCACCAAATCGCGACCTATAGATCTACATAACACCACCTTCTGGTCATCACGCCCGTCAGACTCCACCACTACTAGCCTTGATTTACTCTCCCCAACATTCTCTCCCACAGTATTGGTCACAAAATTTGTCGAAAACAACCATATTTGCAGTCTAAAATGCTAAACTGTCATATACAACCCTTCATGGCAACCCCATTTTCGGCGCCACCCACGGTCGTGTACCGCCACCGATGGTTACCCCTCACCTTGACGAACATATGCATGGCCTCACATCAATCAAACCTACATCAAATCATTCTACTGTAATCTAGACATTTGACAGTGGTAACGTCAATTTTGCCAAACTTTTCTCCTTCAATTCATGCATCCCACAACACTAAATTCTCAAATTAGCATCAATCGAACCATCAACATACACAAACGACAATGGGTATGAATCTAATTAACCAATTATCCACCCAACCGTTTAAATTTCTGGTCCAAAACTCTCAACGGACGCAATGCACGAAAAGAGCTGTCTAACCAAAATGGTGGGTTCTAAGTGCTCCAATCTTCAAATTCGTGTGGGGAAGGACGGTGGAGGAGTGAAGCAAGGTTGGTGCTGGTGGAGTCCAGTGGGAGTGGTAGCCGAAATATGGTACTATGTGGATCTACAGGTGGCAACTTGGTAGGTTGTGAAAAGTGGTAGTGGTGGTGGAGAATTTATGATTTTTTTTTAAAAAAACTTAAGGACTATAGTTGCAGTTGGTTATTCATATTTTTCTTTTTGTTTTATTTGAATATGAGAGTAAAATCATCTTTTATTGAAAAAATGGTTAAAATAGACCTTTTGCGCAATGAAAGGTGGAAAATATAGGTGAAAATGCAAAAAAAAAAAAAAAAATGTATGGACGTTTTGTACAATGACATTGAAAGATAGGGATATCTGTGCTATTTACCCTTTCTGAAACTATAGAGACATTGACATTCCTGACCATAGATGTGGGTGTCATGTCTACGGCCTCGCATAAGTGAGGACCCAATAATATTTATATATATAATTTAACTTATTAAATGTATATAGATGACACGAAATAAGTTGGCCTAAGGCTCCTAAAATCTCAAAACTCTTGAAGTTCCGACCTTGTTTCCAAGACAAAAATTGTTTAATTTTTATATAACTATGGTAATATTTGTTTCTTGAAAATTCTGCTTCAATTTCAAGTTCCACCTACATAATAATTAGTATTTCCAATTTTTCTTCTAACTGCAAGTTATAACCTGACACGTGTCTGTCTTGAGACAACGATAAATGATTTAAGATTATTGTTGCATTGCATTATTTTTTAAATTATCCAAAAAAAAAAGTTGAAAGAAAGCCAATTGCAGCTCTTGAAAAGTTGTATATCCATGTTAATTAATTGTTAGATTTTAATCAATTTTTTTAATTGAACCAAACATGCCTTGATATAAAAGTTGGTCAGTCCAATGGAAATTTTTCTATTATAAACAAGCAAAATGGAAAAGCACTGTCACCAAATGAACAAAATACAACAGTCCGCCATAATCTAATAATAATGCTATTTGATATTTTGATTTATTATTTCATAAGAAATGATGAATATTCAGTCAAACAATTCTCCATGGGTCACGTGCCCATGTAGCCTTGTACACTCCTCTTTAAAATGAATCTAAACGCGTCATACTACTGAATTCCTTGTGTAGAAAGGATGGACATCATTCACCTAACAAAAATATCCAAGAGTTTTATCCCATGTCTCAATCGAGATTTTTGAATTTCAACTCACATGTAGTGGACCCCATATATAAAATATTGAAAAAAAAAATGCCCCCCAAAATGTTGTGTGTACTATGTAGGTACATGGCATATAGCAAAGTCCATATTATAAAGGTAAATGGGCTATTTAATAGCAGGTTTCATAGTTTTGTCTAATCATTCGATCAGAAATATCTTTCTACGTATGGGCGGCTATAGGGGTACTGGGCTGGGCTAGGCTATAGCCCAGTCCAACGTCGGACATTTTTTACGTGTAAAATCATTTTTATGTGAAACCAATTTTTTTATGTGTAATTTTTCTTTTTCATTTAATTCAACTTGAAATCTTTTTTTTTTTTTTGATCTTGAATCCAATCCTAAATCTGCACCTCCACTTGCATGGTTTAGTAAGTCATTTAACTATTTGTATCAACTTGTTTGTTAGTCCCTATTTCACTGTTTAGCATACTCTGTAGTTGCCTTCTTCAAAGATCCTCTACATCAGAAAGATTACTCTATGTAACAAAAGATCTAGCGTGGGTGAACCATATGATGCTATATATACTCGAATCTCTATCGTTACCTTGTAGAAAAAGATTTGAGAGAAGAATCCTTATCCTAAACATTTTGTCTACGAAATATGAAAGCCCTACGAGTTATGCAATCTCTTCTACTTCCTCTTCAAGATTGGCTTTCCGCTTAATAATTAGTATAAGATTCCCTTACTTACTTATTTGTGTTGACATACAAAAATAAGACTCAATTAAATGGTCCAAAAATGAAAGCCAATTAGGAAATTCTAAGGATGGGCCCAAACGAGGCCATGTAAAACTCAAGACGGAGTTATGTAGCAGAGGCCCATCATCGCTCAAGTCTGCAAGACGCCCAAGATCTAGGCGAGCCCATCATCGCTCAAGTCTGTGAGACGCCCAAGAGCTGGGTGAGCATAGTGTCTTGATTGTTATTTAAAGCAACGGTTATTGAAACAGTTAATGGATAATCTTATCACATTCCACGATTCTAGAATCTCGGTTGCAAACAGTTAAATGATGGGAGTAATGACAGCAGTTAAAGACGGTAGTTTTCTTGACAAGTCATCCATTATGGAGAAAGTGGGTAGTTACAGGGTGATGAGTAGTTTTTAAACGGTTCTACAAGGAAAAACCGTCAAAGGAATATAAAAGAGAAAATAGAACAAAAAAGAACGGACAAATTAAACGACTCTCAAACAAAGAATTATGTAATTTCATTTTATTTCTTCTAGTTAACTTTCAATTACTTTACAAATTCAGTGTGCTTGTACCCCTTGGAGACATTTCGCTTCTTTCTTCATAAATAATGCACCCCTCGTTGGGACTTTGTCTCGAGAGGTTGTCGTTCCTTACACAATCGTCTGAACCTTCTTTTAATTATTAACGAGACTTGATTTCCACTCGAAACAATTTGATTTATCGATGGCGGAGAATTATGAAGAACCGAAAAACCTCCTTTAAATCTAATACATATTTAATTAAAAATAATTCTCCTCTAATAAAGGAATTGTTCAATGAATTGTAAAATTCGTTAGTAAAGATTGCCTCAAAAATTGATGAAACAAATAGATATGGGGATACATTAGGGCTTCAAGTGGCCACACTGCTCAGCCACGAGAGAAAAAAGAGCCAATGCAATTGAGGGACCTAATCATCAAAATTCAATATAAGAAAGAAGGAAAAAAAAAAAATCGCCACAAATTACTCGCAAGATAATAATATTAATACTAGGCACGTTTGATACAGAGTACTGAATTGGACAGTACAAAGTGTTTATTTCCTACATAATGTCCAATACTGTACGATCGAACCAAACACCACCATTTGTTTTACAACTTCATAACTACACACACTAAGATCCAAACCCTCAATTCAAAAGCCCAGTAAGAAAACTGGGCGTTAGGCCCATGGGCCTAAGGACATTTGGTCTTGTTGTGATGAGTGGTCATACTAGTATAACATGTTCCACACATCTCTCTATTGCCAGAGGTCCCTGGTGGCACACACTTGCACCTCACACAACAAGTCCCACATGCTCTCGTGCACAGATTTTGCCTCGAATGCTGGCTGCACCTGTACTTGCACAGCCCGCCACAGTCGAGTCGGTGGGCCGGGGCCGGGGCCGGGGCCGGGGTTGGGGTTGGAGCTGGAGCTGGAACCCAAACCGAAGCACGATTGTCGAAGTATTTCGAGATCCTCGGCACTGTCAAAACAACAAAATTTAAAATCAGTTTTACCATAAATTAAAAAAATATATATTAAATGATTACTCACCTGTATCCTGCATCATATTTCTGTCTGTGCGTCTGGTGAACACCTGAAGAAATACACACACACACACACACAAGTTTGAGAAACAAAACCCACACAGTGGAATTTCATCAAACACTAAAAAGATCAAAGAAAAAACTAAAGAAAACAAAGACAGATTACATGAAATGCTTGGCTAACATGTTTTGTTTCTTCATCAATCCTTAAATCAGACGAAACCTGCACGTTACAACGTTAAATCAGACTAAAATTTATGTATTTTTGATGATTAAAAGAGAGCCCTTTTAAGAGTTTTTTTACCTGGGAAACACAGAAGAGAAAAAGCAGTGCAAGAATCACTCTTGTAGCCATAGTGTGTAAGGCAGTTGAATGGTGACGAGGAAGTCTTGCTCTTTAATAGAGAATTTATTTCATTGTTTCCAAATATGCCCTTGTATGGTACCTAAACGAGTAAAATTAATCGAGCCGACCAGAGCAGATAATCATTTTTTTCAGTATCATCATACGAAAGTTTAAAAGTCAAGCCGAACGCGTGAGTAACTCGACCAAGCCTAAGTACATAATTTTCATAAATGAGCATTGAAAATATCTTGTCGAAAATTTACTCAAATTGAACTCAGTGATGCTACAAGAACATAATGGTCTACATAATTATAAGTGGTATTGATCAAAACTTTTAATTCAAATCTGACACTTTCACAACAACGACAAAATGGCTGTCACATCACATTATGTCATTCATTGTGTACATTTATTATGTACACTTAGCATTTTCCAATTGAACTTTATTATGTACTAGCAAATGTTGCACGAATTCACAGAAGCATTTGTATGGTGCATTTTTTTCCTGTCAAAACCATGTGTACAAAAGAAATCCTTACAGAAGTTTCCTATTTTTTGTGTTTTTTGTCATGACAAATGAAAAATCGTCAAATGTGTATACTTAATGTATGTACATAGGGGTGTTCATAACGCTCACGTGGGGTGGAGCTTACATAGCACACCCCTTTTTACTATTCTTGGGTCGAAAATGAATGAAGAATGTTGTTTTGCAAAAATTATGTCAAATTTTTTCTGTAGTTATAATTGATATAATTGATGTTTCACACCTACCAGTTTGTACTATATGCCTGTGACAAAAATATGGACAGATCTCCAACTTTTAATTGTAGCCAGCTGGATAATTGTCAGTGAGTAAATTGTACACTTCGTACAATTGATATTTTGTAGAAATAACTTATGGATATTGACACGTGTCATTTTATTATTTGTTAATTTAAAACGCAATCAATTTTTTTATCCAATATTTTCCCTCCATATTATGTAATACATTTATGTACGTTTTTTTTATGTACAAGTGCAAAATTCATAATTAATACACAGCAACCATATTTGGTGTACATCTTCCTCATTAGCTTTCTTGACAGAATGGGACAGATAAAAAACGAAAACTATTTTTCCATCGAACAGTTGTTTGATAACACACTTTCTATCAACAATTGTGACGAAAACTGATGTACAAATGATAAAATCCTTACACAAAAGTAATGAAGAGTCTTCCCACTTTTATTTAAAAAAAAAAACATTTTAATTAAATTTATTGTGTAGTTTCATCTAGATTGGTGTTTAAGTATAATTACTCCTCAAAAAATTAAGGATAGTTGGATAGAAAATTAAGGCAATCTGTTGGAATACTTACTAGAAGTGAGTTATGAATTATCCATTTAATCCGATTCATGTAGTATGCCAACGCGTGGTTTAATTAAAAAAAAATTGATTGAAATATAAGTTAAAATTAATAATTAATTTTAATCACGTATTTGTAAGGATCCAACACTTTATTCAATCACACATTTCATCATTTTTTTAAATCAAAATTTATTAAAAATCTCATTTTTATATAAATCAACTAGGGGCTATTATTTTCCCAGATTTAAATCAAAATAAATTTTACTTCATATTAATGGGGATTTTTTTTAAAAAAACAAAAAGGAAAAAGACACTTAGTGACAAGAAAAAAGCTAATTGTACAAAAAAAGTACAGCGTGCAAACCAGTAAAAGTGACAATATGTTGTCATTTCACTTTCAATAAAAAGTACAGCGCTTTTACTGGTGCAAACCAGCTCAATATGACAGAAATGAAGTCTTCTCATACTTCCTTTTTTTTTTAATAAATAAAAATAATTCACTACAGGTGAAAATTTAACCCGCATCAGTTAGGATCCATGTGATTGTAAGAGTGAAATTTTGGTGGAAATAAAATGAATTTCAAGGAATTGTCAATTGATTGATATAATTTTCCACCTGAAAAATGTTGAAATTTTGAATCTTTTAGTTGAGATGTCAAAAAAATCGCCCCGCCCCGCCCCGTCCCGCCCCGAGCAGGTTGGCGGGGCAGGGAGAGGTGCCCAGTCCCGGGTCTCGGGGCGGGGCGGAGATGCCCGGCCCAGAACACGGCCCGTGAATCATTTGAAAAAAAAATCCATAATCTATTCCACGTTCCAATTTCCAATCTTCCACCACTATCCATGAACTGCCTGCCGACTGGGACTTCAAGATTCAGGCACAAATACAACTTATACAAGTAACAAGTTCCATTTCTAATTTTCTGTTAACCCTACCCTAATCCCTCACCTCATTCCTCAACCACGCACATCACAATTCCAGTTCCCGCAGCAGCGTAGCCTTGTTTCCTTGAGTGATTGAGCATTATCTTTAATTACAGAAGAACTGAGAACAACAAGGTATGAGAAAACTCACTGTGGAATTCGTTGTTTGTCATTAATAATGAAATAATTCTCATTATATGAATCATTATTCATTCACATGTTCTTGCCTCCTTAATTAGTGGTCGCAGTAGTAACGGTGAGAGTAGTAATTCGGAGTTTTGGTGCTATTCTACAAAGGTACTTGTTTAATACTTTAATTGTGTGCAGTTTATTAATCATATTGTGTGCCTGATTTCGATGTTGAATTGATTGTATGTGCTTTAGTTTTGATTTATCTATTATGGTAAAATCAATTTCGTTGCCAAAGAATTGCTAACTGCTCGCGAAGAAGTTTACTTTGTTATGATTTCATTCTACAGACTACAGAGCCTAATATTTGAACAGATGTCTTGTCCAAGTAGTGCAGCTAGTGCTAGAAGTATTGGAGTAGGACCAATACTCGAGGAACATGGCACGACCAATATACCGGTGAGCGATGTCCCGCAAGAAGATCCAGCTGAACCATTACCAAATGCAAATGAAATGCCAATAAACCTAAGTGACGAGGAATGTGATATTAGAGAACCAACTTTCAGAAAGAGGAAATTGACTTCATCTGTTTGGGAGCATTATAAAAGATAAAAGATATTTTGGCCATCTCGGTATCTACAATGGCGTCTGAATCTGCCTTCAGTACTAATGGTAGATTTATTAATCCACACAGAAATAGGCTTCACCCCAAAATTTTGGAGGCTTTAATGTGTACTCAAGATTGGTTATGGGTTGATATTCACGATACGATGTATATAAACATTTGTTTTTCATATTGTTCCTTTTATGAATTATCTTATAACTAATTGTTTTACTTTATTAATAGCGAATTCTGCGCCATCTGTGTATTTTGGATATTGCTTCAAGATGAATGATGAAGATATTGATGAGAAGGTATTTTAATTTATCAGATAATGCAAATTTTAATCATACTTATTATGAATCTATGATGATATTGAGTATAATATTTCTTTCGTTTTTCAGGAACCATCTTGTGTCATCTCTAGCCGTGCTAATGATTGACGTTATGAAGATGTTTTTAGTTGTTTTTCTTGTTAGAAAATTTTCGTCTTGTGAATTTTTTGCTTTATTTTGTTGTTTTGTGGAGAATTTGTAACTTGTTACTGGACACTTAAGTCGAGACAAAAATTGACTATGTGCCACATTTCTTGCGATTAAAATGAATGGGTAGTTCATATTTAATTTTATGAGGGTTTATGGATTTATGTTCTTAAATTTGATGAAATTTTTCTTTTTTTGAAATAGAGTTATTTTTTCCTTAACCGCAACTGAAATTTTTTTAGGACAACAAAAAATAATAAAAAAAATAAATGGGGCAGGTCCCCGACCCCTTCCCGTCTAAGGTGGGGCAGGACGCGGGGAGGGACGGAGAGGGGGAGTGACGGGGTGGGGGTGCCCCGTCCGGAACCCGCCCCGTTGCCATCCCTATTTTTTAGTGTTTGTTTTTCATGAAAATTGTTCATTAAATGGATTTTTTTTTTTATTTTTACAATTGTCCATAGAATTTGTTTTCATTGCCAAAAAAAAAAGTAACCTGGTGGCAAATTTTGGTTATCAAACAAAACCTTTTGGGGAATGTGGAATTTTATTTCTAATTTCCATGGAAAATCCTCCGTGCTTCTATCGTTATCTCGTGTAGTAGTCATTTTTTATGTTCTGCTCGACTCCCTAAATTAACCGTGTATGTTTACGTGTAAACCGTCAAGCCCACCTTGGCACGAGTTGGATTTATTGGATGCATTCACATAGGGCTTTTTCGTCAAGATTGGTCAATGTGAGTAAGGGTCGACCTATCTAGGGGGATGACAGGCACATTTGACATGGGGTTGGAGCCTTGGAGGCATGGAGCCATAACTTTATCAAACTTATAAGATGATTATCTATATATTTCGTAGGATCTACCACAACATTTAACCTACAAAAAGTTTTACCGAACATGATGGAATTGGAAGTTGACATATACTCTTGTTATTTCAAAGAAAGAATGTTTACAATAACTACAAGAATGATATACTTTAAACATTTGTTTTTCATATTGTTCTTTTTATGAATTATCTTATAACTAATTGTTTTACTTTATTAATAGCAAATTCTGCGCCATCTGTGTATTTTGGATGTTGCTCCAAGATGAATGATGAAGATATTGATGAGGAGGTATTTTTATTTATCAGATAATGTAAATTTTAATCATACTTATTATGAGTCTATGATGATATTGAGTATAATATTTCTTTCGTTTTTCAGGAACCATCTTGTGTCATCTCTAGCCGTGCTAATGATTGACGTTATGAAGATGTTTTTAGTTGTTTTTCTTGTTGGAAAATTTTCGTCTTGTGAATTTTTTGCTTTATTTTGTTGTTTTGTGGAGAATTTGTAACTTGTTATCGGACACTTAAGCCGAGACAAAAATTGACTATGTGCCACATTTCTTGCGATTAAAATGAATGGGTAGTTCGTATTTAATTTTATGAGGGTTTATGGATTTTTGTTCTTAAATTTGATGAAATTTTTTTTTTTTGAAATAGAGTTATTTTTTCCTTAACCGTAACTGAAATTTTTTTAGGGCAACA